TTTTATCCGCGCCAGGGAGCAACAGTAGCCTCAAAGAGGCGCCAGGTGGAGTTTTCTCAGACACCTTGTATAATAACATGTCAATTCAGTCAAAAATGATAATAGTTAAAATGGATAGAACTGTTTATGTCTGTATATTAACATATCATATGATATTCAAAGTTAGTGAAAAGCCTAATTGCTTCAACTGACGTTTTATAAACAACTACCAACATTCATGTTCATCACCACAGATAGGGATGTGAATCAAATGTAAAAGGGTTTAGGGCTCATTTTTTCCTAAAACTCTGATTGCAGTCTACTTTTGACTTGACAAATGGTGAATTCATTTACTTGAGTTTGCATTGTCACAAATAACCACATTAGGCTGTCAAAAAAGACAAATGTCTAACTGCCAATATATAGAACAAGTGCTATGTAACTAGCACAAACGTTACGAAAATTGACGTATGACGGAAAAATGCTGTTAATGGCTGATAAACAACGACATTCAGAAATATCGACAACATGCAACGTGTGCGCGGAAACTAATGGCTTAACTTCTTGACCGTCCCGAAAGATGTCATCAAGCGATTTTATTTTGGGAAGTTTGATTCAGAATGGATTATACGGAAGGGGTTCGAGCACCGAGATTTTAGCAAAGATGTTTAACGTGGTGAAAGATTTTACCCACAGTCATTTTATAGCATGTGATCTTTGCCAATGCCTAATGACCTCAGGCGCTCAGTTTGTAAATTTGCACATGACAGCCCCGGAGAACAAACTTGGTGAAATTAGGACCTTGATTGTCCCTAAAAACCGCAGGACACCAATCCGCAATTCGTGGCCTTCAATTGTTGAGGTACAAATCTGTAGGTTGTCTAAAGTTTCTAGTAGGTGTTAACAAAGCAGCTCAAACTTATGGTATGCATGAAAACAGATAAGAAATTATGGAAAGTATTTATCAAACCATCTTCAGAAACTAGAGATGCCCAGCACTTACAGAAGGGTTGTGACTTCGTGAGCGCTTTTCTGAAAGGCTTTAAGTACGAAGACGCATTAGCTGTGGTCAGAATAGATGGTATCTACGTCAATTCATTCCACATAATGGATGTGAAACAAACACTCAGAGTAAGTTAACGTTTTTCATCCATCAACTTAGACACGAAAAATTGTTTTTGAGTCCTGCAACCATGGTTGACTATTCTCTTAAGTATAGTATTACAACTCCCGTCATGAGTAATAAGGATTTTCAGAGCTTAGCTAGTGTTTCTTCAGTGTGGATGTCAAGGTCGTAATTCTAGTAAATAATACATATATGCAGTAACTGTTAGGTCGAAGTGTACTTAGTTTGACGTTTATGAGTTTCAAGTGACAATGAGTCATTGAAAAGTATGCAGTATCAATCGTTCAAAACCAGTCTCAAGTACACTTCCTGGTTTATTTATAAAATTCCGTTGTGGTATTGAAGTAAATTAATACTGAAGCGTTCGGAATTTAGTTTCGAACATCAGATTTTGAAAACATTAGACACAAATATCAAACTTTTACTCGGTTACATACTACATGAACTACATGCTCTTAATGTAGACCTTAATTGTCGAAAATCATTAAAATGTAAGTCATTATAGTTCTCCTGTCGTAGAGCAGTTGAACCAGCCTGTTTTCTACTAGAAAAGTTTGTTCATCGGTGCTAGTGCTTCCCACAAATTGTGGTTTGCAAATGGGCTAAAAACGTTGCAGTTGAACTTTAAGTCTGGTCAGTAGTAATTTGTAGACTCAGAAAGTTGGTTATGCAACTCATTTGCGATGTATGAGTTCGTATGCCCGATTTTGGACCATTTTCCTGCAACAGATGGTGATAACCCGTGGCTACTCAAATCAAGGTAAACAGAAAAAACTCCAAACAACAAATACCATTTTTCTGCGTAATGCCATCCTCTTGAACAAATGTCAGGTTAGAGTCGGAACTCAGTTTATAACGAATTCCCTGAAGTGTTAAGCCGAAAATTTTAATATAGCATGTGTCACACGATACCGTTTGATTAATATCATTTCTAATACGGTTTCTGGTAATTGTTTTTCAGGGTGATCACATGGCTCGAGCAGTGGGGCGTATTTGCGGTGCTAAAGGTCGTATTCGTATGTGTATTGAAAACGCTACACGGACTCGCATAGTCGTTGCCGATGAAACCATCCATATTCTAGGAAGCAATGACCGTATAGCAGTGGCCCGACGTGCAATATGTGATCTGATATTGGGTGCTCCGCCGAACAAAATTTTCGGAAAAATTCGAACACACGCCGCTAGACTAGATTCTTCTTTGTAACTTCTTTAAACCTACGCGCTAATGTATAAAATTTGTTCATTCCGTTCTCGTTATCTTGCTGATGTTATTATTTTGATAACATACGTATTGTTTTCATAAAACGTAAGTTATTTAAGGATAACATTTGTAAATTATTTGCTATAAATGAGAGTAAACTTCAGTTGGTTACATGAGTCGTAGGGAAAAGAAATATACACACTGAACCTGTGTATTAAAGTATATCAATAGGGCTAGCCGTTAATCTTACTAAGAGTGAGTACACTCTTCTTTTAAAAAATATCAAACCGTTTGTTCTACCGTATAATACGTATATTTTGTGGTTTCATAGCACTTACTCAAATATTTAGAATCCCACAAACTCATTTCATTTCTTTTCCAAATGTAAATTTGCTCTTAATAGTAATCAGATGTTTTAATATTGAATTAGTACTTTTATTTCAAGTGTACTAGAATGTTGTTAGAGAGCTTGACGAAGATGATTCACCAAACATGTAACGTGTTACGATAACTTTTGGATACAATCCGGTTTATAGTTATTCGGTATCAGTCAGTAACAACGTAGAACTTCGTACGTACGTACATCAGTTCGAGTTGCCACACCACATTAGCACACAGATGTAGTGGCCGATTCAAATCCCGTAGTGGTAAAGGTAATAAGAGTATAAGCAGTAATCGGGAAGATTAGTGTTTGGAGATGTTATTTAAAGAGTATAATACAGTGAAATAAATTTGGGAAGAGAAAAAAAGAGACAAGGAGGAATAAGGAGATCAAAATTTGGGAGAACACAAAGAGTGGATGCACCTGCGCCATTGCAAACTATTTTGAGCCATGTCATTCAGGGTCTCTAACCATCGGTTGCTATCATCTCGCGGTCCCCAACCAGGTAGTCTACACCTACCAACATGACTCAGTCCATTTGTCAGTGACTTCATGGACTTGTGCCATGTTTTGGTTTGGCCGCCCCTATCTTTCTTCCAACCTACTCCTATACCACTGAACATCTCACGTCGAGGCAGTCGGTGATCGAACATACGTAATACATGTTCAAGCCATCTCAACTGATGAAGTTTCACTACGTCATCAATTGATTTGCCATCCTTACCTAGTACCCGTTTCCTAACAACTGCGTTACTTACTCGATAGTCCCAGGATATACGAGCAATATTTCGAAGACACCTATGATCAAATACTAGTAACTTACGGATATCCTCTACTCTTACCAGTCATGTTTCACTACCATAAAGTAGGACGGAACGAACTGCTGCGCAGTAAACCCGTCCTTTGGTTGATAGACGGATATCTCGCCTACGCCATAAATGACGCAAGTCGGTAAAAGCTAGTCGAGCCTTCTGTATCCGTGCTGAGATTTCGTCACAGACCAGACCACAAGGGCTGATGAGACTTCCAAGATAAGTGAAGCGATCGACACGCTCAGTTATTCGGTATCCTCATGCATTACGTACTTTTAGTTTGATTTGGGTTATGGGCGCACATAGCGTGGCTTGTTATGAAGTTGTGGTTCTAACTTAGTTACTTTTAGTCGATTAAAAGTTTTAATTAAAAGCCTACTTTTTTAAGCTTATAGTTGATCATACAAAGTGTAGGTCACATACTTGTTTAAGGTAAATTGTAAATTGTAACCTTTAATATGTCCCCAGAAGCTAAGCACAAAGTAATAAATAAAATAGCCCCATTGTGCTATTGAACAGTAATGTCTCGAAAAGGGTTTAACGATTTGTGTTGTAACTTTGTGAAATGCTAATACTGCTACTTGTATAGCTAGTTGTTATGACTATAAAAAATCTGTTACTTGTCACAGCGGATCGCAGATTGATATTATTGGACTCAGGGAGGAAGTATTTTGCGAGTGTAGTTCTATTCATGCGCCAACCACTAATTAACAGCGGACAAATCTGATATTGAGGTATATGTCGTCTTAAATATCTCATCAATGGTTAAATTTAATTGCATTTAATTTTCGGTAATTAGTCAGTAATGTACTATGTGTATACAATTCACGATATTATTTGATCAGCTGTTTTGGCTAGCGAACATAACTAAATCACTCCTTTACATTTTTGCTGCTCTCTGATAATTCGCTGTCGTATTTATGGTATTTATAAGTCAGTTAAGACAATGGGGAGTGTTTGGTGTTAATAATAGTTGGTCTGAATGTTGAGACCTGAAACATTTAAAATTGAGGCGTCTGTATCGTAACTGTAGCTGTTGTATGCATAATAAACATCTTGTAATAAAACAAAACCGACGCTTCAAAGAAATCAAATCAAATAGTCTACAGAAACAAAACGCATCACTGTCGTTATTGAAACACAAAGTACTTAGGATTATTCGATTAACCGACAATGGTTGGTAATAGTCTAGTGCTTAAGGTGTTTGGTTTTCAGTCATTCAGTCTCGGTTCCGAAACTAACTCCGTTTGGAAAGGATGGAAGTATCGGCATCTCGTGCGGAATCTGTATGTATTTGTTGTGGGTTACTTAAGTTACATTTGGTTTAGTTAACTTTCAAAAGGCTACACTGCAATTATGTAAAATGGAGATCTTTCGTCAAACACAAGTCTGTGCAGTATTTTTTCATAAATCGCCTAATTTTATTTGGGGCTAACTATTTTTATGTAAATAAAACCAGAATCTGAAAGGAAATGAGCATTTTACTTTACAAGTGATTAGAATGAGTGGGAATTTCTTTTATACCAAATGTTGAGGTGCAGGTTTGTAGTTAGTATCGACGACAGGTGTATTAATTTTCAAAGCCACTTCACGTGGAATTTCTACTTTACAGTAAAGACTTTTATAACTGAATGTATTTTAAGGTTCCTGCTATTAACTATAAGGTGGTGGGAAGTTATTAGGTTGACTATAATTCTGATCATAACCTTGGTTTATTTGATATCCTTGGGGGTAAGAATGTAGTTGTAAAGGATCTGTGACATTAGTAATTTGAGTTGGTAATTGTTGTGTATTTTTCGAATGAGTTCTCAAATTATTTTGGTGAGTAATTGTGTCTTTTGATACGGTTGAAACATTTGAACAGCAACAACATGTCAATGAGAAAACATCCATTAAACATATTCCACTAGCCAAAATAAGCAATGCAGTTTGAACAATGATTTCTACCCGATATTCATAATAAACTTGTGCATCTATGATGTCAATAATCCAATATATTGTAAATAACGAGAGCATAATACCGATTAAACATACAAGCAGGCTGAATAAAGCGAAGGATATGGCTAGTTTGTAAAATTTTCCATCATGTCTACTTTTTTCAATAGAATAAATTACGGCAGTAAGTAAGATAAATGGACTTGTCCAGTAACCTGCATAAAATGTCAGTGGGACAATTCTTATGTTATATGTGTATAATTCACAGATCACAATGGCAATTATTATTAACATTGAGCAAATTGTTGACAGCAGCTCGAATAAGAAAAAGGTGGTTTTTGGGTTCTTGGGTATATTTTCCATTTGTCTTCAATGTTCTTGATTTTAAGATTATAGTATAAGCCTTGGATTTTTCACACTGAACTTTTCCTACAATATATATATATATATATACCAAGGCTGTTGCGCATTCTCACCTGCTTTTTATTTCATATCTGTAATCCGGTTGGTTAAAGCGCCTAATAACAACATTTGGTAACTATAACAACGGATAGTACCTAGTTTTATTAATAAAGGTTAAACTCCATGGTTGGATAGAGAATGAATTCCCACTAGTGTGTGATTTATTTCTTTTCTTAAATTAAATTTTTATTGTTTATTATCAGTAAGTAAATAAACAATAAGTTAACGATTTTCCAAAAGGATCGTTTGATACATATAATAATAATCTTGCTTGAGAGGCAATATCATTCAAAATTCGAAAAGAACTGGACTGCCGAAATTTGTCCTTATTCTGCCACTAGTCATACCTAACAACATGGTTTGAGAATTATTATTGAGGAATGTTGATGTATTATCGATCGCAAGCATATTTTTAACTGTATATGAGGATATCACGTTTTCTAGAACAAATGCAATCAAAATAATAGCTTTTTCCGAGGTGTTATATTTCACTTTTGTCTCAAGTTTTTTCTCTAACTGCAATTGATTCTTTTTAACTTTATTAATATGTCCTTCATCTTTTTAACGGAGAGGGGATAAATTATTCAAAATTTATACTACTCTAAATCCAAGCAATCTCTAGTCAAGTTTCGATCTTCGAGTCATTCTTGATGTGAACGAAACCGACCGAACTGATAGTCTGTTTAGTTTACCTTCAAGCTTTTGAAAGGTCGAATATGCCTTCTTCTTCTTCTTCAAAATTCGCTCGAGCAATGTGTTCTTTTTTCCACTCCTTCACTGATTAGTTCAAATAACGAAGATCAATTTAAACAGTTTAAGACAATTTCATTTGTTTCATTTTTGCCTAAATTTATTTTCAGAAGAGGTTTTGTGGAGATTTTAGGAATTTCACTAGTTGAAATCATGAGTCATTTGAAGCTAGACCACCATGATGTTACAACCAATACTAATAACTACAAAAACCCATGCTTTCCTTGCGGATTTGATTTCTTACTCAATGACCACTTCTCCTGTTGCTCCCGTCTTCTGATCTGCGACTTTGGGGTTCTATACGTCCGAGTGCCGTTAGTTGTATATAATATACTGCCGTAATCAAGTAGAGGTCGCAACAATTAGAATGAATTTGTTGACAACAAAATAATGTAGTGCATTTGAGATTCTATATTTACTGTTAACCAAGAACCAAATTTTTGATAACTTCTGCGTATTGACCAAACCTTTTTTATAAAAGATGTAAAAAACACTATTCTTCAGTAGTCATTTAGAATTGTTGTGCCATGATTTAAACTTTAAGTTTTGTAAGTTCTAAACATTATATTTTGATTATGTCAGTTCCATACAAGAACATTCAAATTAAGAAAATTAAAGTGTAAGGACCTGTTATAACTTGTGGCCTGATTGCCCTGCTAATGTATAACGTAATGGTACCGCCAATTAGAGAACAGTGAATTATCGATCAGACCAATGACGGGTAAAACCCATACGAGCAGTCTAGAGTACCTATCGGTCCTGTATTCTGCCTAGTCCAGCCAGTTAAGTTCAGAACACCAGTCTCAGCCTCTTCGATACGAATCATTTATTTCAAGCATACTGTTTTATATACCAACCAGACAAACCACATCGTACCATAAAATATGAAACATTTGTACAAGACTTTGCCAAATGTGGCTGTAAATGAGGGAGGTAGTAATTAATAGACAGGGCATAATTCAAGAATGGTAAATCGTATAATAATAGTTCATAGGTCAAAATAAAGCTCATAATAAGAGGGACATGAATATTTATAGTGTAGTTATTTGACAATTATACGATAAAAATATACGCACATTATTGGCCCATAAATGGATCCCAAAAGTTACCATTCATTATGTTTTTCGGGACATAACGGGACCGTTCATTTTCTCTTTCATTAGGAAACGTGTATTTCCTGATTTAAAGAAATTATTTAGTCATGTATTTTGTAAACTCATCATTGATGTATCTCAAAAAATCACTAACTCATAGGTAACATGTTCGAATTACTTTATCTAATTCCATCAGAATATAAATATGTAATGGTTCAATGAATCATAATTTAATTTTATTAGTTTTTCGAATTATGTTGGATGAAATTTCAACATTGTTTAGAGTTAGGTTTGGTAATCACGTTACACAGAACTTCAGTGAGATTTCCTCCAGAAATTTGAGTAATAAACTTTTTTAGAAGTTATTTTCATTTACCAGAAAGTTAATTTTTTCTCAGGAATATTTTTATCTAGTAGACAAATAATTATCTAAAATCTGTTAATGAATGTTACAGATAATACCTGTAAATTAATGATGATAAAGCAAACATGTACTTTGAAATAAAGGATTTTATTTTATTTGGCATCATACTGAATTCATATGAATCAAGCTTGAACATTCAGAGTGGACTGATAGAATATTATTCTAATACTCAGAAATTCTTCAAGCACATAAAGTTTCAATTATGTTGACACCCTAATAAACAAGAATAGATTACAAATGAAGACTCTAAGCAAATAAAGGTAAATGTAAAATTAATCTACTTCACTAAATACATTGAATTCCATTTCTTCGTAAATCCATTTAAGTGAGAAGTTTAATTAATAAAAAGGCAGTGTTTAATTTATGATTATCAATATGATAAGTAGAATATTTTAAATGTTAACCTTGAACGTAGTTGTTCTCTTTTAAATAACTGTTTCAACCTTATTAGTAATGTTTTCATATAATGATGACTGGTTTGTAAATTTTTGCACGCGTAATTCTAATTTTAATACAATATATTCACAAATGCATACGGTCTTATTTCTTACTTAAGTGTCAGTCCATTTGTGACTACTAGAATATATTTTGGACAGACCTGGAAATTACTAGTTCGTTTATGCCATTTGACATTGCTACTTTCGCCTTTTTTAGTGCGTTAAACAATTCATCGACTAACTATCAATGAAATTCTGATGGTGAGGATTGTTTATTCATGAACGATTGCACATTTTACAATTTTGTCAAATAATGGTTCTTTCAAGCTGGAGTCTGAATTTCCAAAACGAAATGCACATTTTGCACTCCAGGATTAACAAATATGATTTGACTAAATAAAAATAATTTCTGATAGCTGCTATGTTTGAAGTGATTACGAGTTCACCTAGTCTGCGAACGGAACAAAGACTCTGCGACCAAAGACAAATAAGCAAACTATTTTAATGCATCCCAGCCCCGCTAACTAGAAAGAGAAGTCCAAGTTCGAACGGGGAAATATATTCCGCAAGCAGCCAGAGGCACGAACAATCAGTCTAGTCGGAAATACACTAATTTGTACACCCCTTTTTGGATAATATTCAGAATAAATCACATATATGAAAATTATTTCACACAAAAATATCGTATGTCATATGGGAAAAGGAAACAAATACTATACTGAGTAAACATTAAATTGAATTAAACGGAATTAATGTTGAATAAAAATGATAATGAGTAATCAATCTAATTTTGACTTTTCATCCCGTCATAACAATAACACACTACACCAATTAATAAAAGCTCACAAAAACACGTAATCCCAAAGACAGTGATAACCATATCTCTGCCCATGATCATATTCAGGATCTGTATTTTTGAGTTTCATTTACAAAGCTAGTCGTGCTTCTAAAGATCTGATATAATTAATTTTGTGTATCTACCCTGACTTTGGATGTTAATGCAAGTCAGTATTAAAAGTCAAATATGGGATATTATTTGGATATACATAGTTTATGAATTTGAAGGAGTAGTGAATGCGTGTGATTTGAACTACTGATCTGAACCAAAGTAATCTAGTTACTCAATTTATATATCCAGATAAACGAATAACAAGATATATGGACATATATGCACTGAAAAGCTCCGGTTGTAGCTTTCCTGGGGTTATTGATGGTCCCAAGCCTAGGTAAATTGTGGAGATAGGCCTGACAAGCTTATTTTGTAAATAGTTTTTAATATTATTTGTATTTATTTTGTCAATTTCTCACTGCATGTACATTTATCACTAAATGATTGTACCTGTTGTTTAAGTAAATGACCTTGAAGACTTTTTCCGTTGTGATACTACATAGCGTGACATATCGTTGCTGGTTAACAAATACATTGCTTCTCTCACATTCCCCGTTCTGTTTTCATTCGAGATTGAGTTAACTGAGATCTAAAACAAATATTATTTACATTCATAGACTGTGAGAGCGAATACACCGTATCTTACTTTGGATTACACCACTGTGGAGTTCATCGATACGTTTGGAATTACCAAGCATCTATAACTGTGGATTTATTGTACCAGATTAAAGCTGAACACGCATCATTTTGGGTGAACTTAAGTAAAGTCCCATTTTTATTGTATTTGTAACATTTAACTGATATATATTAATATTACTACTGATTTTTATTAACTTTGCTGATACTTTTTGTGTTTATATATCGTCTGGTCCACCACAAAATTATGAAGGTTGGGCGTGGCAACCAAATCCCGTAGAAAACGGCGTTCTTAAAAAACGCTAACCAGAATAAACAACTTTAAGCATTTAAACTCTGTCCAGGTTGCTTAAGGATCATCATTCAGGGGAATTATGACGCCTCATGGTGAAAGCCCAGATTCTTCGGACGTCACGGGGACGATGTCTCTTCTAACAATCACAGCAACAATTAATGTAGGTATACAGAATGTTCGGACGGTATAGGAAACTGAGAGGACCAATCAAATAGCTACGGAAATGAGCGGTTACAACTTAGCGTTGATCATAATCAGTGAAATACATTAAATCTATGATGACCAGTAAAGGCTAGATTCATGAGAGATCCTGCTGTACCTTGGTCCCGAAAATGAGAATGGTAAGCACACTCAGGGAGTCGCCCTGCTGCTTTCCAAAAAAACATGTAAAGTACTTATAGGATGAGAATCTCATGGATCCAGAATCATCAAAGCAT